CTGAGGCAGCGAGGGGGTGGGTGGATCCGGAGGCCGCACCAGATTCTGACGCACCGCCCCTGTGGGGCGCTGGGCGGCTCTGCGCATGCGCACAGCTCCAACCAAGGCGAGCAACCGGGCCTCAATCCGGAGAGCATGCGCAAATGGAGCGCCACTGCGGCGAGGACTCAAGGTTGGGGGAGGGGATTTTGTGGTCCTGATGGGAGGTAGCCGTGATGAAAGCGAGCCCTTAGGCTCGGAAATGAGCACCCAGGGTGGGAACTGAAGCCGAAGAACGATCAGAACCCAAGGATGGTACAGAGCCCGCGCAAGGCCAAGGGCAGGCCTGGGAAACTCTTTGATCCTGGCGCTGGCGAGGCCCTGCCTGCTCTGCAAGGCTCTGCCCTGGCCACATTTCCTGCATAACCTGCTGAGGCCCATTAATTAGCTTTCCAAATATTTATTGAGCTGCCATCAGCTCCTAGCCGCCCTCGGATTCAGATTCGGTGGGTAGCAGGGTGAGAGAGTGAAATGTGCAGTGTGTGAGATGGAGACGCCAGATCACAATTTTCCTTCCCGTTTCTAAGAAGGAATGAGGGTAGAACTTGGTGCAAGTGTAGAGATTCCAAGCCTCCACTTGAGTTTGAAAAATATTTGGTGGTTGGTGCTGGAGAAATGGCTCGGAGGTTAAGAGCACTGACTGCTCTTCCAGAGGTCCCGAGTTCAATTCCCAGCAACTACCATGGTGCCTCACAGCAATCTATGATGAGATCTGGTGCCCTCTTCTGGCATGCAGGCTACATGGAGGTAGAATGTTGGATACATAATAATAAATAAACATTTTTAAAAAAAAAAGAAAGAAAGAAAAATATCTGGTAGTGATCAGGCATGGTATCTCACGCCTTTAATTCCAGCATTCGGAAGGCAGAGGCAAGTGGATTTTTGTGAGTTTAATGCCAACATTTTTTGCTTAGTTTTTCAATACAGGGTTTCTCTATGAGGCCCTGGTTGTCCTGGAACTTGCTGTGTAGACCAGGCTGGCCTCGAAATCAGAGATTCTCCTTCTGCTCCCGGAGTGTTGGGATTAAAGGTGTGTACCACCACCACCTGGCCCCTACTTGGTCTCCTACATAGCGAATTAAGGGATTCAAACAAAAAAGGCTGAGTTTTTTCTTTTCTTTTCCTATAAAGGACAACAACACAATGTTTTGTGTCAGGAAATCACTGGTTTGCCTATGGTATTGAGTTTATTTTATTAGATTTATTTTAAGGATCTAGAGAGATGAGTCAGCGATTAAGAGCATTGGCTACTCTTCCAGAGAACCTGGGTTCCAAGTCCCAGCACCCACATGCAGCTCATAACTGCCTGTAACTCCATATCAACTAATCTGACACCTTCATACAGAGAATGCAGGCAAACAAGTGCACATAAAATTAAAAAATTTTTTAAAAAAAAGATTTATTTTAAAATGGGGCTTGGACTAGAGAGATGGCTAAGAGGTTAAGAGCACTCACTGCTCTTCCAGAGGTCCTGAGTTCAATTCCCAGTAATCACATGGTGGCTCACAACCATCTATTATGAGATCTGGTGCCCTCTTTTGATGTACAGGCATACATGCAGACAGAACACTGTATACATAATAAATGAATCTTTAAAAAAAGAGAGAGAGAGTGAGGTGGAGGGGGGGCTTGGTGGCACTTGCCCTTAATCTCACCAGGTCAGTCTGTGAATTGTGTCCAAGTCATCCACATAGTGAGTCCCAAGCCAGTCAAGGTTATATAATGAGACTCTTCTCAAAAAAACTATTTCGGGGCTGGGGAGATGGCTCAACAGTTAAGAGCACTGTCTGCTCTTCCAAAGGTCCTGAATTCAATTCCCAGTAACCGCATGGTGGCTCACAACCATCTGTAATGAGATCTGGTGCTATCTTCTGGCCTGCAGGCATACATGCAGACAGACTACTGAGAAAAAGAAAGAAATCTCTAAAAAAAGAAAAATAAAAAAAAATGAATATTTTGATGACTGGTAAAATGGCTCAGCACTTGCTTGTACAGAGGACCCAAATTCTGTTCCCAGCCAACATCTCCGGTGGCCCACAGTTCCTATAGACTGAGGCCCTCTTCAGGCCTCCTTAGGTGCACACACACATACTCAGCAGAAAACACACTCAGCCTACAGATGACAGACACATACAATTTTATTTGTTTATTTTAAAGTTTTTCAAGATCGGGTTTCTCTGTGTAGCCCTGGCTGTCCTGGAACTTGCTCTGTAGACCAGGCTGGCTCGAACTCACAGAGATCCTCCTGCTTCTGCCTCCCAATCGCTGGGATTAAAGGTGTATGCAACCACTGTGGGTGATTAACTTTTATTTTTATGTGCATTGGTGTTTTGCCTACATATATATAAGGGTGTAAGATCCCCTAGAACTGGAGTTAGAGACAGTTGTGAGCTACTATGTGGGTGCTGGGAATTTGCCCAGGTCCTCAGGGAGAGCAGCCAGTGCTCTTAACTGCTGAGCCATCTCTCCAACCCCCTAATTTTTAGTTTTATTTGTTCTGTGTGTGTGTGAAAATTCAGATCCTCTGCAGGACAGTATACTTCTAACCACTGAGTCATCTCTCTAAGCCCCGCTGGGGAAAAAATGTGTATTAGTGTTTTGCCTGCATGTATGTATACCACATGCATGTGCATGGGTAGTACCCAGGAAGCCAGGTGGTATGACCTGCCATGCAGGCACTGGGAATTGAACCCTGGTCCTCTGTAAGGCTTGCTTTTGTTTTTCAACAGGGTCTACCTATGCAGACAGAACTGACCTTCAACTCAGGATCCTCCTGCCTCTTTCAACCAAGTACTAGGATTACAGGTGACATCATGTCCACTTGACATACTAGAATTTGTTTGGTTGTTCGTTTGTTTGAGACAGAGTCTATGTAACCTTGCCTGGCCTGTGACTTGTAATGTAGATCAGGCTGTCTTCAGATTCGTAGAGATCCCCCTGCCTTGTCTTCGGAGTGCTGGGATTGAAGGCGTGTGCCAGCACTACCAACCATACTAGATTGTTTTAAGTGTCACATATGGGCTGGGAGTGTAATTCTTGCTTGTAGAGCTTGCCTAGCATGCATGGAGCCCTGGATTCCATCACCAACACTGAGTAAACTAAGCACGGTGGTACACGCCTGTTGGCTCAGAAATAGGAATTTGCAGGCATGAAGATCAGTAGTATAAAGTCGCCCTCCGCTACAGAGTGGCCTTGAGGTGAGCCTGGACTGTGTGAGAATGCTTCAAAGATAAAAGAAAGAAAAGTGGGGGGAGGGGGATGAAGAGAGGCCAGGCTACCTGGCTATTGACTGGGCAACTCTGCATCAGCAAATTGGGCCTTTCCCATCCCCAGATGGGTACCCACCAGGAAGATCATAAGCAAGAGTCCACATATGTGCAGAAGCTGACTTGAGCAGGGTAACTGCAGACCCGTCGTCCGCAGGCAAGTCGACTGGACCCCATGGCATGCCTTGTGTTCTCCACCTTTAAAATTGATCTGATGCCTTTTTCTGTCAGGAAGGTGTACATACAGATAGAGCACCATATACATAAAATAAGTAAATCTTAAAAAATTAAAAACAAAATTTAAATGAAAGGTGTACACCTTTAATTCCAGCATTTTAGAGGCAAAGGCAGGCAGATATCTGTGAGACTGATACCAGCCTCATCTACATAGCGAGCTCCAGGCCAGCCAGGGTCCCCATGAATTATATGAATTACTCCCCATGACAGGAGTCCCCAGAATTATTTTTAGTGTGTGTGTGTGTATGTGTAGGTATGTGCACATAAGTACAGGTGCCCAAAGAGGCTAGCAGAGTTGAAACCATTGCAACTGGGATTCCAGGCTATTTCCAGCCACCTGATGTGGGTACTGGGAATTGAATCCTGGTCCTCTGCAAAAGCAACAAGTACATTTAACAACTGATATTTGATTGAAACATAGTAATTGCACATATTTATGGGGTACAGTACTATCTTTAAATACCTGCCTGCTTTGTGCTGCTTACACCAGGCTAATGAACATAGCTATCACTTTAGGTTGTTTTTATTTTATTTTATTTTTTGGTTCACTTTAGGTTTTTATTTGTATTATTATTATTTCAAATGGTTATTTCAAGCATGTGTGTGGGGTGTGTGATATGTGTGTGCCGATGCCAGTAGAGGCAGAGAAGGGAGTCAGACGGCCGGGAGCTAGAATTACAGGCATTTGTGAGTCACCAACATGTTTTTTTTTCCATAGGTTTTTTAAAAAAATATCTATTTATTATGTATACACATATGTATATGTGTATATGTATATATAATAAATAAATACATACATTTATTTATTATATATACAACATTCTGTCTCCATGTATGGCTGAAGGCCAGAAGAGGGCACCAGACCTTATTACAGATGGCTGTGAGCCATCATGTGGTTGCTGGGAATTGAACTCAGGACCTTTGGAAGAGCAGGCAATGCTCTTAACTGCTGAGCCATCTCTCCAGCCTCCTGAACTCAGCTCTGTTGAGAAAGTAGAATGGGTCAGGGTTTTTTTGAGACAGAATCTCATTATAGAACCCTGACTGGCCTG